GCTGCTAAGTGGGGTAATAGGCCTTGAATTTAAGCAAGCTTCTATTTGGCAAAGCAGTGTCCGTAACTCTGTACTAGTTAGCTTATGTTCCCCCATCACTCGTTTCAGGTGATGTTTAGTGCTTCTTACGGCACTTTCTCAAAGCCCACCAAAATGCGGTGCTGATGGAGGATTGAAGTGCCATTCAATGCCCTCCTTGATGAATTTATCACTGGCATCCTTCATCATTGAAACCAACATCTTCTGGGCACCTACAAAATTTGTGCCATTGTCAGAGTAGATGTTTGCGCTTTTTCCTCGCCGGGCCATGAAACAACGTAGAATGTCCAAAAAGGATGAACTAGAAAGATCCTCTGCGAGTTCCAGGTGTATAGCCTTTGTTGAGAAGCAGATGAATATGGCGATCCACGCCTTTTTTGTAGGGACTCTTCTTAAGCCACTACGCACATAGATAGGATCGGCAAAATCAATTCCAGTGACTGTGAATGGCCTCGCACATTGAACCCGATCCTTTGGTAGGGCCGCCATTAACGGTTGGTCGAATCGTGGGCTAGCCCTTGTGTATTAACGAATCGTCGCACCACGGATCGTGCATTCACTCTGCCCAGTAGAGGCCAATACTGTCGTCTCACTTCTGATAGTAATAATTGGTGTCCAGCGTGAAGAAGTTCTCTATGATGGCATTCGAATATCATCAAGGTGATCTTGTGTGAGGAAGGTAGGACAATTGGATGCTTGCGGGTTTCATCAATATTTGCATTTTCCATCCTTCCACCTACACGTATCAACCCATTACTCATATATGGGTTTAAGCACCTCAGCTTACTGTTCTTTGGTACTTGTTGTCCCTTTTCCAATGCTATAATTTCTTTCCGGAAACAGGTTTCCTGTTGAACAGCTTTTAATATCACCATTTCAGCTTCTCTTAGATCTGATATCTGAAGATGTTGAGTTTATCTGAGGTTCTTACCTTTGCTGAGGTATTTTATATATCTTACTATCCAGGAGAGCCCTCGTAGCATTGCGTTCCATTTCGAGTATCTGCTTATTATGCTTTGAACAGCTGGATTGGTTACCATTAACGCCAGTTTCATTTTTCGATTTTCCGACACCTCTTCTTCCCCTTTGCCTAGTGTGGGTTGCGAGTACCACTCTAATTCCTCCTTCTCTAGCCACTTAGGACCATACCACCAAGTTTCGGCTCTCACTAACTCAGCTGCACCTATCCCTCTGGATGTCACATCAGCAGGGTTATCATGGGTGCGCACATGCCTCCACATTGTACCACTTCAGTCAGTTCTAATATCTGGTTCACCCGGTTCATCACATATGATTTTAGGCGGCTTGTTTGACTATTGAGCCATGTTAACACAATCATTGAATCCGTCCATAGTCTAAAATCTTTGGTAAACGGAAAAAAAGTCCCCGGAAAAAAAGATCCGGAAAAAAAGTCCCCGGTGAAAAAGTCCCCGGTAAAAAAGTCCCATGGAAAAAAAGTTCCCGGAAAAAAAGTTCCCGGAAAAAAAGTTCCCGGAAAAAAAGTCTCCCGTTGCAGTATAAGGGCTAGTTCACATGAGAAGCGTTAAACGCGCGTTTATAATTACTATGCAGCTGTATCATAACGCGCGTTTACAGCTTTCTGGCGCGTTACAAAGCGTTAATGCGCGTTGCCATATCTCATACGTAAATTTTCTAAACGGGSGTTTAACGCTTCTCATGTGAACTAGCCCTAAATAAAACGATATTTYCACTATACTTGTTATTTTATTTATAAAATAAATTGAGTTGACAAATCTTATCTGTAGATAGTACATGACAATTAATTGACAATAATATCTATATAGTTTGACAGTTACACACAGTACCATATACAGGTATTATTGAGGTATACCTATCATACCTATCGGCTATCCAATCTCGTATTAGTTTCGAGTTGTACGCGAGTGTAGTTTAACTAGTGTAAGTGTTTAACCATGGAACTTCTTAAATCAAACAAGGGAAATGATAAAATTGCACTAGATGGGTATACTTATACTATAAAAAAGACATGCGAAAGTATAATCCGATRGAAATGTTCCAAAAAATCGTCAATGAAATGTCCAGCTATATTAATCACTGATTTGAAAATTACAAAAATCATACGATTTGAAGAAGAACACTGTCATAKTGCTAATAAAGGTGCAATAGGAGCTATGAAAATCAAACAGCAGATAAAGGAATGTTCACTTCAGACTTGTAACAATCCAGGACAAATTTTTGCCCAAGCTATACAAAGTGTACCAAAGGAGGTATTAATTGAATTACCATCCGAGGATTCAATAAAAAGAAGTATTCGTAATCAAAGAAGCAGTTCAAACCCMAAAAAACCAAATAGTCTACAAGAACTTGTTATTGAAGGTAATTTGCGTTACCTATTATTATAATAATTTATTTATAAGCAAGGCTGGGCATTAACGAGTTAAAAGTTAAAATTAAGTTAAAACGTTAAGTTAATTTTAATTAAGTTAATTAACTCGTTACTTTTTTTACAAATTAACTTTTAACTTAATAAGTTACTTTTTTTTAAGATTAACTATATCGTTTTGCGTTATGTTTTGTGTAATGATATATCATATATTTTGTTAAACGATACGTTTTGTTTTGTGTTATTTAATTATATGTTTATCGTTTTCCGTTAAAAAGTTTGCAAGCCCTGTTTTTTATATTTATATTAATATTACCTATCGAAAATGACCAAAAAAATTAAAAACGTCAAAAAATGCAAAAATATGCAAAATAAAATAATTAATAAAATTTTAAAATTAAAATTCTATTTGTATTATGGTTTTAGATGATTGGACACGTTRTGAAAATGAACGATTTTTGTTGAAAGATAATGGTCCAGAGTCAAGTGAACGGATTATAATATTTGCGTTAGATAGTTCATTAGAACAGTTAGCAAATGCCGATACCTGGTTTATTGATGGGAACTTTGGTTTAGCGCCMGAGCATTTTTTACAGCTATACGTCATTCGAATCCAAGTTAACAACATTTTTATTACGCCAGTGTTTTGCTTACTCGAGCGAAAAACGGAAAACACCTACGAAGAAATGTTCAAAATAATTTTGAATGAGTGTAACAATCGTGAACTGTACCCAGATCCATTATACTTCAATGTTGATTTTGAAATCGCAGTTCACAAAGCTGCCAAAACAGTTTTTGGTGAACATATTTCAATTCGTGGGTGCTTTTATCATTTATCCCAAAGCACTTATAGAAAAATACAAAATCTGGGCTTGAGTAAACAATATAAAGAAGACGAAAACTTCAATTTATATTGTGCTATGATGGATGGATTAGCTTTTCTCCCTGTAGATAAAGTTGGTGAGGGGATGAATTATTTAAAACAAAATTGTCCAACTGGAGCAGAAGATCTACTACAGTATTTTGATGAAAATTATGTTGGAGGTACGTTCAGGAAAGTTAAAAAAACAAACAATATAATTTTAAGAAGAACACCACCATTGTTTGTACCAGAATCATGGAACGTTAATTTAACAACTCTGTCGACAAATCCGCACAGAACTAATAATGCTTGTGAGGGCTGGAATAATAGGTTTTCCCATCTCGTCGGCATTAAACATCCCAGTATTTGGAAACTACTTACAAAAATGTGTCAAGAAGTTGGAACGGACAAAGCAAGAATGGCATTGGCTG